TAAATTGACAAGTGTAAGGAGTATGGTTTTCCACTAGCTGCTGGTTTTGTCCCGCTGCCACACCTGCCCCAAATTAGCACACTGAGACTCTGTATTTGATACAATGCTGTTGGCCTGTTACTAGTTTCTTATAGGCTATCTCTGTCTTAAGTATTAACCCATTTCTATGTATTTCCATGTGGTCTTATCTTACCGGAGAGAGGCAGCATCTTGTCTCCCTAGTCTCTCCATCTTGACTGTTCTCTCTACTCCTCTTTCCTCCTTGTCTCCTAGTCCCTCCCATCTTCCTTTCCTATTGGCCAACAGAGCTTTATTCATTAACCAGTATGAGAAACATATATACAGAATGACGTCTCCCATCAGACAAGTGAATATTTCATATCTTTATGGAATGTGCCATAATGTTTGTAATGTGTGAACATTACCATAAGAGAGGGAGCCATTATAGTTTTAAAGAGAAACCTGGCCTGAACGTGGGTGTCAGTTAGGATGCCTGGGCAGTCTATGGGGCCTGTGGCAGGGGAACCAGTATTTATCCCTAGTTCACGAATGGGTTTTGGTACCCATTACTCATAGAGGGATACTCTCTTAGCCTAGATACAGGGAGAAGGGCCTATAGCCTGCCCAAATGATCTCTCATGGGAGATCTGGGGAGTGAATGGGGGTGGGATGGTGGGGGTCATGGTTGGAAATGAGGGAAAGGAAACTGGCAATGGTACATAGAATAAGATTGTTTTTAATTTAAATAAAAAATATTTTGAAAAGAAAGAAGAAATATATAAATTAAACTTACTGAGATGTAGTATCAAACACGCCTTTATTAGAAACTTTCAAGTAAAAATGTTATTCACCACAATACCCTTGGTTTTGAATTTATTTTTCCTCCCTAACTGAAATTATATATCCCTTAACCAATACTACAAGTCTCTTGGCATCCATCCTCCTGAAAGATCCATGTTACTCAGTATACCTTTGAAGTAATTATTTTTACCCTCCATATATAAGTGAAGCCATTCAGAGTTTATCTTTTTGCATCTGGCTTATTTCATTTAACAAAATGTAATGTGGGGTCATTCATGATATTGCAAAAGAAATAACTTCTTCTTTTTATATATAGCATACATAGTATTCTACTGTGTTTATATAGAAGATTTTTATTGCAAATACATTTCATAAAGACTTGATGTCTGAGATATAAAATAACTAAGCAAGTTGCTGCAATGAGAGCTAATATAGTATAATAATGAAGAATTTTAATGAAATTCAGAGCTGCTAAAAATGTAACATTGATAGTATTTCATGACTGATAAAATGAGAATAAAGAGACAAATATAATTATGTTCTTACTATAATTTTGGCATAGACAGAAGACTATATCTTGAGATTCATTGTCACATAAAATTGCCGCACAAAGAAAATTGTCCATTTTTCTCAATTTATATTTGTAAATATTTGTCCTTTCATGTATATGGCCTATGAGTTAAATTCAAAAGTATTACAGGTGATATTAACTGTGTCTAGTGATGTTATCCGTGTGAACTTAACCTTGATTCTTTACTGCATCTATTGCTCTGTAAGATTAAACATCATCCTCCACCATCACTCCTTCCCATGCCCCTGACAATCTTCCTGATCAGGATGACAGCCCATGTATGCCCTTGTAAGATCCACCTCTCTGCATTTGTAATCAGTTCTAGAGTATGCATTTTACATTTTATTTTAGGAAAATTACATAGCAATTACATTGTTTTCCATACCTGGTGATTATAAGTGCCTGCATTTTCTCTCATTGTAGCCTTTCTTGGTGCTTAGCAGGAAAGCTTAACACTTATAGGTGCTCATTGAATGTTACATTCACTAATTGAGGACACGTTCTGCTTTTTTTATTCTAATAAGTGATATTATAAGGATTTCTCTTGTTTTATCAATAAGGATTATCTCTTTAGTTTTATCAATAAATTTGCTTCTTATTTATTTCTACTTTGGTTTTTGCTATTTCACCCATAGCAGTTTCCAAACTTGAGTATACTCATTGGGTTAAATGATCACATTTAGAATATATATGTAAGTGCTATTCTGCGGGTATATGGGAGCTACCAAAGATGATCTTTTACAGTTTTATCTTTTTATTAACATCAAGGGATCACTTACTACCAGGAAATGAAGATGCAGTAGCCTCTAAGAGTCCATATTTTGCAAGATCCTGTGAAATGAATTATGCTATCGACACTAATAGCTCGGTACTTTTATTCTCTTCTGTTCAGGAACCTCAAAGATGAGAAGTTAATTTACTCCCATTTTAGCTTAAAAAAAATTAGTGTTCTAGACAGGTGTCAGATTATAAGTCCTTAGAGACAGTTTTCTGTTTGCCACAAGAGCATTTACAATACAGAAAACTGGACATTTATGGCTTGCCTTCCTCTTCCTCTGTTCCTTACCTTATCCAACGACATATAGAGGCCCTGTATATGTATAGCAAAACATAAAAGCCCTGACACACAGAAAACAATTACAGAGGCAAGATGGACAACCAGTCTCCCAACGTTTGTATCAATGAGTCATTAACACATTCTCCCTATAGAGCTATAAACAGACACCTTCAATTATGTTCCCAGTACAATGTTTGTGTGATTCCATACTTTCTTGTTTCCTATAAAATGGTAGAGAAGTGCAGCATATTTAGGAAAACTACTGAGCAAGTATGAAGGTGGAACTCAATGATTTTGTGTTTTGTCTACAATGTCATCATTTGTGCTGCTAAAATCATGTTAGACAATTAGAAAGGGAGGAGGAATTGATCAGTGGGTATGAAGAACGTTGGTTGTGTTATACACAAATTAAGGTAGAAAAGAATTTTTGTTATTTCATTAAATTAGTTTTAATTATTTAAAAATACACTTTTAAAATATTAATGTTTCTTCATTTTAGTTCTAATTTCTAAGATTGTGTGCTTTGGAATTGCCATGATTTAATATCCATAGTGTTCTGTGCAAATATTTCTTTCCTTCTGAAGCATTGCGAAAACCCTAAAAATATAGTCACATACCATCTTTCACAAAAGATTAACCAAGACTGGGTGGACACAATCTCCACTCATTGATGATGATGATAACAGGGCACAATTTAAAGACAAGAGTCCAGATTCTTGTGAGAAGGGGTAGGGAATCTATTTGACCCATATAACTAAGGAAGGTTGTGCCCCAGCATGGGTGCACAGCAAAGTTGTGATCTATATTTCCAAGGATGATGACTAGTAAATCCAGCTCTCTCCATATTGGTTTGATTGTTGCACCATAAGGAGCATCAGTACAAATGACCTTATTGACAGTTTATCACTTTGAGCATCAATCTATTCTAGGCAAAGATAAATTTTGAACCTTACAGTCTAGATTGATAAAATTTCTTCATTTTCAACACTGAACAGAGCCTCTACCATACCTCTTCTTGAAAATGAGTCTTTAAACAACTCCCTTCCCATTACCAATACTTTCAGTTTTATAGTTACCCTGGAAAAGCAGATCAGAGACTCCTAAATTAAATAAGCTAGTAGTAGAATAGCCTCCAATGCTGAACACAGTGTAGCCTCAGAAACAATCTAAACCATTGTCTGGCCTTTATTCTCAACATTATAGAAACTAGTTGCAAATATATTTTCAACATTAAAACCAAAATTGGCACCAATACATCTGACCTAATTTAGTGATCTCTTTCTCAATACAGCTACTTAAATCTTCACTCATGTTCTCATGATCCTACTGATCATGGAGAGAAGTAAATTCTATACATCGAATTTTTAAAACACCAACCGTGTAGAAAGACAGAAGAACATTTTTAGAGTTCTGTCTAGCCATCTTTTTCATACTTAATTTACATTCACTATCAGTGTTAATAATAATCAGGAAAGACTTAGTAGTGGCTTCACACCATGTACTAGTCTCATTATACTTTTTCCCAGAAATTATGATGGTTTATTTTCTTTCATCAAAGCTCAGGCATATTATATTACTTACAACTTTCCTAAATGTGCTGTTTTTAGAAATCTCTTTGCTTTGTAGATTATGTAGTTTGTAGCACTGAGCTTTTATTTTTATATTTAATAAATAAACTGTTGATATACATCATGTCCTTCCCTAATGTGTTCTGAGTTTAAACTTGTTGACATGTGTCTTATACCATGGCTGAGGATAAATTGTGGAAAGCTGATTTACATTAAATACTATAGAACATGGCATGTGAGCTACTACTATATAGTGAATCATCAATTATCATTTAGTGGCATTATACTAATAGACTCTATATTATAAAAAGTCTCTATCAGAAAAATTAAAATTTAAAAACAACTTTCATAGCCCATTTTAATTATAAATGTAAAAATTAACATATTCTTACCAGAATCCTTAAGTGTTATCCTTTGCATCAAACTAAAATAACCTCAGTGCATGTGAACATAGAAACAATTAAATATTTATTGAGAATTGGCCTATATTACAGACACGTAATTAGCTGTGGGAAATGCTGAAATGAGTAATACACTGTCATCAACCTACAGCCTCATAACACATCCAGTCTCTTTATGTATTTAGTGAAGTGTCCTTATTAATTTTTCCTCCTTATCTCAATGAACAAATGCAAAAATGTTTTAAATGTTTTTTTTTATTGTCTTGATTCATCTCCAAATAACAAACAACAAATAAATGAGACCCTTTGAAACAATTTCTTTTATTAAAATACCATGCAGGCAGCCTTTTCTCTTCATGCTCACTATTCATTTGTTGCATTATCCTTTAGTATTGGGTAGAAATGCAGTTAAATGCACAAAGCTTAGGGTCACACGAAAATTACCCAAAGCTTTATGGGTAATTAATTTGGGTTATATGAGGCAAGGGAGTGCGCATTAGTTACAATGGAAACTCTATGTAGTTACTAGACATTCACATCTCAGCATGGTTTCTAGTTCAGCCAGTAATTACTTATTCACCAGATTATCAGCTTTGAACCGGGTGAAGAAGGAATCCTCAGAAAAAGGTGTCATGTCACCCTGGAAACGTGATATCAAGCAGCGTAAATGGAATAAGCAAAGCTTCATTATTTCTACAAAAAAAAAAAAAAAAAAGACTTTGATATTTTCCTACCCAGTAGGAAAGTCATTTGAGATCTTTGGGTATGCAGTCTTCTACATGTCATTTGAAGGAGTTTGCAAGGGGTTACCTCTAAAGTGTCAACTCTAGCAGTTGTTCTAATACTGCTACAGATTAATATCTTCAGATCGTGAATCCTTTACAAATCTTGGGTACACAAAGCAGAATCTCTAAATTTCTCAGAAATATTGAATTTTAGACTTCATTAAGATTACTTCTTTGGTAATGATGTAAAAAGAGTAGATACTAGACCAGTTAATATACACATATTGATGACATAGAAAAAGAACTCTAGCCCAGTAAATGCCTCTTCCTTCATAGTCTCCTTGTGAAACAAGCTTATACAACTATTCCCAGGATACTAAAAATGGCCGGTGCAACATGGAACTATTTTTCAAGTCAACTAAAGATCTGTTTATCAGAGATGGTGAAATTTTCAAAAGTATTTTAGACACTGCCAATAATGCTAGATATATGAATGGAAGCAGGCACTAGTGATTTGCCACAAGTTGTTCTACAAAGAAGGAAAAAGTATGTCCTATATAACACAAAAAGTCTCGATATTTGCAGATAGTTAACCATTAGCTTCAACTTAAATTTAAAATAATTGTTTTCTCCCATAAGTAAATATAATAAATGATACTAAAATATTAAATGTAATTTGCCTTATAATTAATTTGATTAGGATAGAAATATAAATAATATACATCACAGCATACGACAGACCAAAAAATTTCATCTGTTTATGAGGCAGACATCAATTCTTAGAAGAAAAATTTGACCACTTAGAATATTTGCATTCATGCTTTATACCTATAGAATCAGGACAAAATGATAGTGGTAATTCACATACTGATTTCAAAGTTGAATTATTATTTTTTTTCTGTTCAGTGATTGCTTATAAGACCAACACCTAAGAGATAAAGTTTATGTACTTTACTATCTGGCTGGATAATATGTCCATAATACATATGATATTAACATTGTATCCTGCTCTACATTTAAATGTGTGTGATGTACAGTCTTGGGTGTCAGCTTCATTAGATTAAGAGAGGCCTTAAAGATTAGTGAAACACGCCTTTAGGAATAAAATGTCTGATATAAAGAATAGCATCCTCTAGTCCTTTGATGGACTTTGATATGACTGAATTCATAGTAGGAGATGAAAGGATGTGGGGCTGGTTTGGAAAAGGTATATCACTGAGGGTCTAATGCTAGGTCTACCTTGACCTGCTTATAGGTGTCCCCTTTCTCTGATTCTTGTCCACAGAGAAATGTGGAATCTACTTCATTACTTGCTTTTACCTCAACGATGCTCTATTTGAGCACATAGAGCCAAGCAACTGTGGACTGAACCCTATGGAAATGTGAGCCAAGCAAATGAACCCACCTCTAAGTTGTTTCTGCCTGATGTTTCAGTCCTAGCAAGTAATATATTAAAGCCTAAGACAACTTCTGAAAGACTCAAACAACAGTAACAATATCACTGTGGATTCCTATATCTCTCCACACACTGACAGAAAACCAAGTGCATTCCTTCACCTCTCTTGCCAAGTGGATTCCAACTATGTTTTCAGAGTCCACGTCTTCTTCAAATGTTCCTACATTACCACTATATCCTTGATTAATGATGAAAACCAACTTCAGAGACATATAAGGAATTATTCCTGTATAGATTTTTCACTTTAAAATAAATGTGTAATCACAGCAGGGCTATTTGTCAGTGATCCATCCAAACAGAAGTAAAACATAACTATGTCTAACTAAGCTGCCTGTAAGATACTCTGGTACAAGAATAGTTGCTAAATGTGTGATCAAATAAGTAAACAAAAAGAGATTTTGGACAGTAGACCTGATTCCCTTCAAATTGGGAATTGATGTGCTGTTTGAAATAAAATAATATAGCTGGCAGCTAGTAAACATCTCACAGGTTAAAAAATTATCAGAATTAAATAAGATTTTAGCTAGACTAAAAGTTAAAAACATACAATCAGTATAATATTATCAGCAGGTCATATGCTTTTATGAAACAAATGGTATAATTTAACACCATACTTAAATAAAGTAATCTTTCAATTTTTTATTTTGTTAAAGGTGCACATAAATGCAAGGTGAAGTCTGACCAAGGTTACACTTTTATTATTTTGAGTGAACAGATCACTAACTTCAACAAGATCTTAGATATCAGGTTAAGGACAAATTATCTGCAAGTACTAAAGAATATAATTTATGAAAAATGTGTTATATATTCAAAATGACTATAACCTCAAAGCACATAGGTACTAATAGGTATAGTGATGGATAAGGTAATAAACAGAGTAATTCATTCATATTTGACACTTAGTAAATGCCTTTATAATGGTGTTTTATCTCTTTTTATGAAGGAACTTCAAATAGTCAAACACTTTGGCTACATTTTCCATTAAGAAAGCTAAAGCACAGAGCTGAATGTTCTCTCAGATGGCAGAAGAGAGATATGAAGCCGTGTTTAGTGCTTCTTGCTGATGTCACCAGTAAAGCTCTCAGAAAGCAAACTCATAATTTTAGAATTCCATTAACTACTTTTCTGATACAGATTGCTAAAATATTCTATTCATTAGATAATGTGTTAATTGCATTGTGTAATTACACTGTGTGAGGCTGATTATTTGGTGAGCTATAATGAATCCAAACAAAAACAACCTAAGACTGAATCCAAACAAAAACTTCCAGCTGAATACCTTTCAATTAAAACATGCTACTCCAAAACCCAGTGTCCATTTTAGTACTGTCCTCACCGATGAACTTCCATAGCTTAGTAGCTCATATTAGCAGAAATGGCTTCATCATTTCCATTTGTTTCTTAACTAATTTAGAACTGAAATCCCAAGTTCTCATACAAAATAAAATAAAATGCTGTCAAAATTCACCTCTTAGATGCCACTAATAAATAATAGAGATAATTAGTGGATACCACACCACATGTGGTTCAAACAATTAAGTGGAAAAACACTTTTATGAATTTCCCTGGTTTCATAACATGAGGTAGATAGGTGATTACATATGTGCACATACATTTTAAATCAATTTACATTGAATTCCACAGAAATAGTATGTTTCAAGGCAAAGGGAAATATTACTCTACTTTTTAGAAATGTATAATAATATGTTACACATAGAAATATTATCCTCTAGTAGGTTTATCACCATGCTATAAGAACTACAAAACTGTATAATACTTTTTTCTTTTCACTTGATTTTTGTCCTGTAGATGTACCCCTCCCTCTGTGTACACTACCTCTAATATAGCCAAGACTTCCCTCTTGTGGTTGGTTGATGTCAGTATAAATTTTATCTTTCAAGTTAACAATAATTTAAAGTGGTATCTAGCAAAGAAACTTTTAAAAGTAAAATGACACAGCTTATGATGTGACCTCAAGCACAGGTGGTATCTATAATGAGTAACCTTAAACTCATTGATAGATTGTAGAGTTGAGATTCTCTCACATATTTTAAATTGCTCTTTTCAGAGTAAATCCCCAGTATTTTTCCTTTCTCTATGTTTCAGATCATTGCCTTCCTGCATAGGAATATTTTCCATTTGACTGGATTACATTTCTACAGACAGTCCTTCATGACAGACACTTAAATAGAATCTCATATTAAATATTTCCTATATCCTTTAGGGCATCTTTTTAGCCCCACATTAAATACAAAATAATTGAGAACAATATGTTGACTTTAATGTTGCTTCAAGAAGACCAATCCCACTTTTCCTAAAATTTAGGATTTGTGCACAGAATTGAGAAGGGTATTGTGAATATTAACCTAAACTCTTGATTAACATTTAGTTAAAATAAAAATCTCACTCTGAACAGCAAAGCAGTAAGTACAAGAAAAATTAAAAGAAATGAAGAGAAATTTGGAGCTTCTATGTAACACTTTTCACTAACAAAACAGTACTAAGAAGAGACTGGTTGCATCACTAACCCCCTATTTGGAGACAAGAACACTGCTATTTAACAATTTTTATGCATGAGACCCAACTGAGAATTTTACACTTCCCATATTATATACTTTGCTCTTATAATCATTATTTACTAAAAACTAGTAATATTAACATCTTCAAAAATTTTAAATGGTTTGATCAAAATTATAATCAAAACGATACAGTTCAATTAGGAAATGAACACCATAGATTATTTACCAGAAAGGTGAAGTGCTAAAGATGTGTCCTTTTTGTTAGTAATACACTTTTTTCTTTTCTAGCAAAAAATAAACCAAGTCCAACACAACAACGATAAGAGCATGCTGTGTGACTTTTTAGGGAACAATATGAACCATCTATTCATCCCAAATAGGGAAGCATTGACAGACCAAGTAAACAGCTACCAAAATCTAGCATAGTGAATGTGTGAATAGACTGAAGTTGTTTAGAGGAGTTTTGGGGAGAGGTTACCTACAGGAGCATGGATGACTTAAAAACACCTACATCACTAAAGAGCTCAAATAAGCACCAGTGACATATCATGAACGCTTCATCCCGGGAGTTCCCTGCATAACATGCAGATAGAGGAATAGGAAGACTTTTCTCTCCCCAGAAATTATTATTGCTTATATGACCTCAAGGAGTTGAATCTTATAAATTTAAGAAACTTCTGAGAGTTGTGAACTGCTTATTCTCAAGTATTAGGAAGAATCTTCTCTAGGACAAAATATTTCAATTCAAAGGAAATTCCTACACCACTGCTGGGCGATATCTGCCCATGCAATTAATCAGATTAGGCCAATTTAATAAAACCAGTTTTAATCGGAGCAAAGGAATGCCAGTTGATTCTCAGGCAAGAAAGCAGGAAAGAAATCACATGGCACACACTAGGCCGAGACTTCAAGTTCTCTGTACATGTGGTCTTAAGCAGTTGGGGCCTGAAGGTGCATTGGGGTAAAGTTTGGGGGTGTGGCATGGGGCACTAA